CATGGGAGGCGGGGAACACCGCTTCCCTCCTTGTCCACACCAAGTGGCACTCTGACCCGTGCGCCCCTGGACGGGCGGCCGGAGCCCCCAGCGGGCAGAGGGCGCCCACGGAAGTCATTCTCCTGGCTGCTGCCAGGCAGGCGGGATCGGCTTAGAAACGGGGGGGCAAGGGGGGGCACCGAGTAGCTGCAGGTGGGGTTCGAGCACTTCTAACCACAGGACTCAGCCAGCTTCCAAACCCACTGGCCGCAGGCAGCCGGCAGGGAGAAGCCGCAGGAGGATGGAGCCCTTCGATTAAGGGACAGCAGACCTCTGCCAGCCAGGCTCGGGGTGAATGGAGGCAAGAGGGCACTTTCTCCCACCGACAGCCTTGGAAGCGAACTGTTCATGTAGATCTTCTGCGTCTGGCTCAGTGCTGTGTGTGCATTTGGGGTAAAACAACTAAGATAAGTGGGACCTGCTGTCAGCCCCCCTTTCTCACCGCAGCCCCACCCCCCGTGACCCCGCAGGGGGCGGCCTGGGGCTCGGGGACCACAGGGCAGGGTCCGGAGGCCGCAGGAGAAGCCAGGCGCCTGGACGGCAGGACACACAGTTACCAGCCTCAGCAGCTCGACCGTTTGATAAAAAGGTCACTATCATGTTTATTGAATAAGGAGGAAAACACGTCAGGGAAACAGGTTAACTTATCTCATCGCAGGGTGGCAACAAAGTCCAGCTTGTGCCGCCAAACGGTTCACATGATCAGCCCGCGGACAGCGTCGCGTGACCTGGTGACTACAAACATTTACCAAAGACATAAATCTCTTGTAAAAAAGCCGTTTTAAATACAGCAAAGCGGTGTCTTCTCGCACAGCAAAGTGAAGGGAGTTTCTACAGAGAAAGGGAAGTGTTGCATTTGTAAACCCCTTTTCACATTCTCACAGCGGCGGCTCCCTGGCTCCCAGGCCCGGAGCCCGCTTCCTGCTCACCGTGTGTCTTATGCGCGGGATGGTTCGTGTGGAAACGTGTGGGTGCCTGAGGGGGAGCCCTTGGGGGAGCCCTAGGGAGACGGTGGCCGTTGTTCCTTAGAACAAACCCTGATTCAGCCTCCAACGCAGTGGACGTCCTTAGGGCTCAGGAGATGGCGTAGGGTGGGGCCATGTGACGGTGGATGGGGACCCCGCCCTCCCTGGGGTGAGGGTCCTGAGGGAAGGACAGGCTGAAAGCTGTCCCGGCCAGTGCAATTCACGCGAAGCTTTTTTTGTTTTTGTTTTTAGTAATAAAATACTTCCTCGGGATGGGTGCGTTTTCTGGTGATGGTGTCATACAAAACCCACGCGTCTAAACGGGTAAGGAATGGAGGGGCTGAGCGACCCCGCTAGTGTCCTGCCCAGTCGGGGTGGTGCCCAGCAGGAGGCGTGTTCGTACGTGGCGGCGTGGTGAGGAGTGTCGTGCTCCCGTCTGCGTGTGGGATAAGGGGTAACAGTCTAGATTCGGTTCCTGGAAGCGCAGCCCCTCGCCCCCTGGTCATGTGATTGTGGCTGTGGTTGCCGGACAGCAGCGGTTCTCAACCTATGGGTCGCGACCCTTTGGGGGTCGAACGACCCTTTCACAGGGGTCGCCTAAGACCATCGGAAAACACATAGATAATTACATATTTCTGTGATTAGTCACTATGCTTTATGTTCATTCTGTAACAATGAAAATCCATCCTGCATATCAGATATTTACATGATGATTCATAACTAGCAAAATGACAGTGATGAAGTAGCCACGAAAATAATTTTATGGTTGGGGGTCACCACGACATGAGGAGCTGTATGAAAGGGTCGCGGATTAGGAAGGTTGAGAACCGCTGCCGAACAGGCTCCGAGCCTGGCGGGGCCGTGTTTAGGGGAGCCGGTTACGGGTCAGGAACCTGCATAGGAAGAAAGACTGTCCGACAGTCGGGAGGCCGTCTCGTAAGGCACACAAGAAAGACAGTCAATGTGCGGGGGCTCCCCCCGTGTGCGGCGGGCGGCCATGGACATGCAGAGCGGGCGGTCGCCTCCCACGGCCCCGCTCGGTGGGTGACAGTGGGGGGCTGTCTTGTCTCAGGGGTGGCGTATGGATGTGCCTGTGAGTGCGTCGGTCAGAAAGATGAGGACATTTTCAAGAAAAGCGAGTCCTTTCCGAACGGCCCTGTGTGTAGGCGGAGGAGAGAGCAGCTCACTCCCCCTTTTTGGCCTGGGTGCACCTGAGGGGGACAGACATGCAGGGACATAGGCAGCTGCTCCCAGAACGTGTCAGATAGAAAATAGCAGCATTTTTTAACCCTATTGGAGTTTCTCGGGAAAATTCTATTAAAACCGTTGGTAGATGGACATACATTACAGGACTTGGAATTTTGTTCATGGCACCAGCTCGGGACCTGGGACCCCCATTCCTGGGAGAGGAAGGCTGTGGTCAAACCCCAGCTGGGGGTGACGGGCCGAGCCCCCATCTGCACCCGAATCCCCCCAGAAGGGGCGTTTCCAGGTGGAGCTAGGACGGGCGTCTCCATAACCAGCCAAGTCGGGCCACTGGAGGGGTCTGGAGAGAGGACCTGCCCCCACGGCGCCGCCCTCACCGTTTCCACGTGGGAAACCTTTGTGCACCTCGATTTGGCCATTTTCTCTGTCAATCAGGTCAGCATTTTCTATATTTTTGAAGAATGCCTTGTAAAATCCGTTACAAATTTTCCATTTATGCAGGATGAACTTAACACCACTTTTGCCACTTTGCTATTTATATACACATATAAAATATAGAACGCTGCTCAACCCATACAGCACACGGATTACAATGCAACAGCACACACTCACCACCGGGAGGACCCGCGCACAGTCCCGCAGAGACGGGGCCAATAATTAGAACCCAAAGTACAGTATATTTAACAAAATAGGGAGTACTCAACAGCGAGTACTCTACTTAAGGATCTCGCCTTGTCCCCCAAATTGGCGGCAAATCCACAAAAATATACTTTTTAATCTGGTGACCATACAATACATAGGTACTTACATCAAAGGTGATAATATATTTAAGATGCTATGTACAGAAAGTTTGGCTCAACTTTTAATTTATATATAGAATAATAAGTGTTCATGGCTTTTTTTCCCCCAAGGTTCTGCTTGCAAGATATTTCCCCTCTTAGAATAAAACTAAAAAGTTAAAACAAGATAAAGCTATTCTCAAAAAAAAAAAAATTAAAACATACAGCTTTGGCTTATATAAATAATTCATAGCAGAATGTTTTCAAAAGTAGTGAATATAATTTTATATATAGTCATCAATTCATAAGGGTGTTTTCTTTCATATAAAATATACATGAGCTAAAATCCGTTTCTTTAATTTTTAAGATACGACTGTAAAGAAACTTCTGACATAGTCCAATTATAACTTAATATATTACTTTACTCCGTTAATGCTCTATCTCTCTAGGCTAGGGTTTTCGGCAGGTCTCATGCGTTTCTAGTCTCTCTTATTGGCTAAGATCACTTCTCTGACCCGATACACTTGCGCGTGCAACACGGTTAGGCGTGGGGCTTGTTTCTGACTGGACAGCCCCCCATGCACCCCTCGCAGAGCCCATGCGGGGAGGAGGAGACACTATGTACAGTATTGCTTTCTGGTGCCTGCGCGGCTCTGTCTACGAAGCGTTTCCGGCCCCGGCGAGAGGGCCGCCGACGGGCGCGCGTTTCTCTGGGAAACTGTCTCAGGAAACACGGCGCC